CTTGCGATACATTTCTACTTTGTCCACTTGCTATTTTTTTTTTTTCTCTCTCTCTCTCCCTCTCTCAAGCATACGATATAATACATACATGTACCGCCATATACATACGCATACATACGCGCGCAATCGCTACTTTTTCCCTTCTTCTCACGGAATACTTCGCGAACGACGATATCGTCATGCGCGATTAACAATCTAGTCGTACGCGCCATGCTTTGCGCGAACATGAACATGTAGAAAAATGGAAAGAAAAAAAAAAGAAAAAACAAATAACGCGATGCCTCTTTGATATCGTTTAGACGCATTAATCGTTGAGACTCTTAGTGAGGGAAGGATATTCGAGAGTCTAGACGATAAGGTGGAGCTTTACACGACCAACTAACACAGTAATATACGATTAAAAACATCGAAGAGGTTTTTTTCTTCCCGCGTAAGGATCGTTGTCGGCGGCCGTTAGTGCCGCGCTACTTTAAACTTTACGTGAACAAAATAACAGAACAACGTGAAAAATCGATTTGAACGAAAAAATATTTTTTCTACGACAGCGATCCTGCGGTTTCTCCCCGCGGCGATCTTTTCTCATTATTGCATGCCTCGCGCCCAAAAATTAATTGGTCGTTCTGTTGCACGGGTCAGCCGACCCAGTGACGTCACACACTCATGTTGCTACGTTATTAGAACGAATGACGATCCGAGGATAACTCAACGGATGATGCTCAAGCCGGTCCGCTTCTTCTCCTTCGTTCTCGTCATTCCCGTCTCTTCCTTCCTTCCTCCTTCTCTCCATAACGTAACGTCGTACTTGTTCTCGAGCGTCAGCTTGAATATCACCTTGTTTTTGCTACCGCTGTTACTAATCGTGCTACAAATCCCACTTGTTGTAACTGCAGAAACACAGGCTCCAGCAACCCGATCGTGTTGCACGGACATCGCCACGGTTCCCACCGCCGCTGTTACTGTTGTTCCCCAAACGATTGTTGTTGCCGCTGCTGTTGCTACTACGGTGCACCATTACGACGTTGTCGGTAATGGTGGCGAGGTCGAGGGGCCCATTGGTGATGGCGCAAGCGGTAAGCAGGCGATCGCCGCCGACAACACCAGCGGGTCGCCGACTGTCCTATACTCAAATGCTGCTCGGATTACCGCTTGGCTCGGCAACTTTGTCGACGCTGCTGATCCGCTGGCTGCTGCTCTCCGGCGGCGACGGCGACGCACCGCCATCCTCCGGTTTGTGCAGAGGTGGTTTCACCCCGTTTTGCACGTAGTGAGTTAATCGAGTAGGTAACGAACCCGCATTCAACTGATAAAACTCAACCAACTGCAGCAAATCGTAGAATTTGGTCGTCCCCTTGTCGAGGGTGTACAGCCAGCAATTGCGACGCTCGTCAAAGATCTGAAAGAGAAAATTCAATTGGATGTGATAAAGCTGATATTTATATAGGTAAATTATAT